AAAAAATCTAAAAATAAATCAATATTTACAGCTAAAATTTTTACTTAAGTAAATAGAACTACTGAAGAGATTTCTTTCGATACTTTCATCAAATATAATAGGACAAACACTATTAATACGATATTGCTGCCATGTGAATGCAATTATACTTCACCGATTATCTTATACTATCAACCTTGAATATTGAAATAATCTATGCCAATATAAATCATGACCTATCAATCAGCTTAAAGAATCATGCAAAAGTTAAAATGGTAAATAAATTCAGTAACTATTTCATGTGTCAGTCTTGAAGAAAAACTACACAAGAAGTCATTATTCTATAATTAAATGTCCACTTGTGCTCTTTGTAAATCAAAGAATGTTATTAAAAAAGTATTGAATTTTTCTAAAATAAACGAAGAAAAAAAAAATGATGTAAAACCATTAAAATTATTAAATAATAAATGTTTTTGTTTTCTTACTCATAATATTCAATTCCATTTTACGATAGACAAATGGATAATAGAATACCAATCCAACTAACATTATTGTTGTTGCAACAAGAAGTCCAATACTTGGTTTTGAAATTACAGGTGCAATAACCAAATAAATTGATATAAGAATAATAACGACAATTAATGGAATAGGAATCTATACATGAAAATTTTCATTTCATATTTTCTTATCATAGACAATAATAGATACTGACACTAATCACTCGTTTTGCATCTTTTTTTGTAAATTTACAACAAAGTGTGGCAAAAAATGTTAATCCATAAAAAATCCATGCAGCAAAATTGAAAAGATCGATCAAACTACTAATGTCAATTGGAAGACAGAAAAGGATTCCGATAAAACCCTTCGAGAAAGAAAATAATAAAAATTAATATTTGTATTTTAAATTTGAAAAATGAATACAACCTGAAGGACAATACCAGGCAATGGAGTCAATCTCTTTGAATGAATACATGCAAATACTTCTGGCAAATATCCATATTGGGCACCAACCATAGAATACCGAGCAGCTGCAATGAGAGTTCCATTAGCACTGCCTAATGCACTAATAGAAATGAGAATAAGTAGAGCACGAACAGCTCGACCCAATATGACTTCACCCCATGTCTATACATAAGAAATTGATTGTTTACAAGACAAGATTTTTCTTTTCTTCTACCATACCACAGCGACAGCAGTTGAACTCAGCAATGCTGCTTTACTCAATACAGTAAAATAAGAGATATTAGTAAGAACATAAAGGACAGTAACAGCAGGTAATGCCAATGCAATAGACAACCATAGGTCTCTATAAAATGCGAAAATATAATCAACATCAAACTTTTAAATACATAAAATGAAGCTCGATCGTATAAGATGGATATCTTCAGTTTTCTTGAGAAGATTACATCTATGGAAATCATCTATCATAGTCATACCTTTGAGGATTTTTAAGTTCTTCGGTTACTGTATTAAGACTATTCCATCCATCATATGCCCAAAGACCAGAATAAAATGCAAATGCAATACCCAATGGATTTTTTGTCGTACCTATTCTAGGACAAGGTAATAATATGTCATTCTCTTTATTATCGTTATCAACCACACCTTACCAGCAAAACCATTTTCCAAGTATTTTGTATGTCCTAAAAAGAAATTATTTTCAAATGATTTAGTTTATTTTTCAAGCAGAACAAGAAATAAACCTTGTAGTACGCGTACAAGACCAGCCACTATTACTGTCAAGATAGTCAATACCTTGCAGATGACAAAAACAATATTCAGATGATTAGCTGCTGATACACTGAGCGAGCTAACATTGATGAGCATTACTACAAATGAACAATATAGATATAATTAATTAAGAGAAGATATAAACATACTAATGGTAAAAATAGCAAACATTTGGACAAGTTCTGATGGAGGTCCACAATCTAAATATGTATAATAAATGTACAACATGAACAACGTAGAGAAACTAGTTTACCGTCCATGATACCAGCTAAGAAATATTCAGAAAAAGTAAGAGTAAGAACAGCAAGACTTGCTGGTCTCAGAATAATTGCATTCGTCCAATTGAAAAGATATGCTAATACATCACCTGTTCGTTCATGAACTGATCCAATACCTATTAGTGAATAGATCCATATTAAATAATTTGTTAAAAGAACATAAAATATACTACTGCTTAGATATAATTTTTAATAAACTTTGAAAGAAAAAAAACACAAAAGAAAAGGATATGTATAAGATTAATATCGTCAGAATAATCTATAGATTTGTTTTATATACTGTACCTTCTTTCAAATAAGCTACTTCTGCACCGTTTCTCGGTATTACCGTGCCGATTTCTGCATAACAAAGTGCTCCTAAAATAAAAGTCAAGCTATCTCTTGAACGTCTACAATACTATGAAATATACCTAGTAAAGCAAGTAATCCACATATAGCCCAAACAATCAAACAGGCACCGACAGAATGTGTATGTTCTAAAACACCTTTGGGAGAAATAAATATACCAGAACCTAATAATAATATCAAACAATCAATAATAAAACAAAAAAAAACAATAATATATAATAGTTTACCAATAATGACACCAACAATAAAACAGACTCCTGAGAATAAACCAAGATGTCTTTGCAATGTGACTTCAACGGTTGGTAATGTAGAGTTCAATACATCTGGTTGACTATTTGATATAACTGATAAACCTTGATTTTTTGAGGAAGGAGATTGAACATGCCGATGACGATGAATTGAATCAGACTCAGCTAGAGAAGAAAATGATAATTTAAAATTTATTATTTCATGAAAAACTTTTTTTTCTCAATTATCTAGTGAAGACTCACCCTTGGATAAATCAGGCGAAACAGATTTGCCCATGTCAATTTTATAAATTGCTTGTGTTTATATAAATAGTTGATATTATAATGTAATCTTTATTCAACACTTGTCATGGTAGAAAAAGATGTCGAAATTTTTACTTTTATTCTTCTAGTTTTGAAATATATGTGGAATAGAGAAGAAGAAAGAAAAACGAAATTAATTTTCTCTTTTGGAGGAGCGTTGCCCTCTCGAGAGTATTTGTAAAATACTCTCTAATCCACTCCAACTGTCATTTAACTCGACGTTAATATCAATCGATAGAGCTTAGAATTCTTCATTCAAGAGACCTCACTCTAAGCTATTTTCTTTAAAAAATCTTTGATAAAAGAATCAAACACCATTTTTATAGGTCCACTCCAACCCATTCTAAGCTCAATTCAACCCACTCTAAGCCAATTTTTCGTGAGAAAATGAATAACTCATAATAATAAACAACTCTTTGATTTATTTTAGACCTATCTACCTTGACATCATTTTCGCTATTGTTAGAGGTCAAAGGTTCAAAGTCAAGGTTCACATCTGATGGTAGAATTTAGCGTTAAACTTATACGTCCAACATTAGTTTTTTCAAACAAACTCTCTTTATCTTTGCCATAGACTGTCGAATCTACACACGGTTACTTCAAAAATCTGATGTTGGACGTATAAGTTTAACGCTAAATTCTACCATCAGATGTGAACCTTGACTTTGAACCTTTGACCTCTAACAATAGCGAAAATGATGTCAAGGTAGATAGGTCTAAAATAAATCAAAGAGTTGTTTATTATTATGAGTTATTCATTTTCTCAC